CCCGAATCTGTTGGTCGTGCTATTCCTTCATCCGCATCATGGCCATTTCCAATTTGATTTTGAATGCTTCTTCTGCTTGGCTAGAGCATCCTCAACCATTTTGACTACTTCCTCGGTGTTAATCATAAACACTTCGTGGGATTCTCCTGGACTAGATACTGTTTTGTCAGAAGTGACTGTGGAGTTAGCATCTGATGCTTCGTCATCCGAGGATAATCCCCTTTGCATTCTTTGATAATCCTTATGTCTAGTAGTCTCTGCGCGTAGCCGAGTTAGACGATGCGATACGAGGGGGTCAGAACTAGAAGGTCGAGCCGACTTTCCTTTATCAGTCATTTCAATTATGACTTCTGGAAGTTCGTCACATTGAACGGCCGATCGTTTCTTACAGAAACGCTTTGGCTTGGACTTAGTCGTTCCGTTAGAGATCCTCTCAAATACTGAGACCCTCTGCGGAGCGGTCTTAGGACAACTACATGCTGATAACACTGTCCTAATTATCTTGGTACACGGATAATGAAAGTTCATCTCTCGAAAATCTCTCTTTCGAGGTTTGTTCGTACCCCCAGCTCGATAGTACAACTCATCGGCATGATGACCGGAGCAATCTATCCGTGTTGACATGACTTTTTAAGTATAACATCGTCATCTGACGAACACGTTTCCTTCTGAGGACTTGTTACCTTGATGGCGTTCTCAAGAGTCACGTGTTTGGAGCCACGCTTTCGTGAACGCGGGATCTTAACGGGCTCTTGGATAATGACTTACAATCTGAGGCTGTCAGTTATAGGAGTTTTCCCATTATAGAAAGGCTCTGACTTGTTGCGAGGGCGTGTGCGACCCCTAGCTCGAGTAGTTGCTCGGGGTTCAATCACCGGACCCAAGCGCTATTTGATCGAAACTTTATCTCGATCCTTGTGCAAAGGACCCAGACGATCCGCTATTGGCTTCTTGCTTTTGAACAAGTCTACACTACCGTGAGGCTTCACTGGAAGTACTGGATCAATCAGAACAGGGGCGAAACTCGACGGAATCAGAAAAACGGGTGCAGAGTGTCTCCTATCTCGGTCCTGGCGTGGGTCAGACCTTGGTGACCCGCGGTTGGGCGGGTCAGACCTTAGTGAACCGCGATTGGGCGGGTCAAACTTGAGTGACCTACGGCTGGGAAGATCAGATTTGAGTGACCCACGGTTTGAAGGGTCAGACTTGAGTGACCCGCGGCTTGGAGGGTCAGACTTGAGTGACCCGCAGATTGACGGGTCAGACTTGAGTGACCCGCGGCTGGGTGGCTCATCTTGGTGTGACTCGCGTTTTTTCATCTTTTTAGCCATTGTTTCGTACTTTGGCCTCCAAGTTTGATGCAGTCTTGGTTGTTTCTTGGCTATGTCCTTCTTCTGCATCTTTTGTGCCTTTTGCACAAGAATTCATGCGTGCGCAAGCAGTACGTGGCGCTTCTGGATTCGCTCCTCAAGAGTTGAACGGATCCTTTTGACTTGGATCCATTCACTTGTTGATGATTTGGAGGAGAGGGTGTTTGCTCGCTGTTGGGGCGCTTGGTGTTCCCTGAATTTCAGATCCGTCCTGTAACAGATCTCGTCCACTGGCTCCAAAGCCTCAACGAGTTAGCGTGCGAGGCGTTGACGTTTCCTTTGACGTGCCCTCTTCGATAGGATTGGCGCTGATCCATCGGCTATCTCCTTGATTGAGGAGGAGTCCAGATCTACAGATCCGATCTCGTTGGAGGCCGGAGGGGCGTTGCAAGGCGTGATTACAGCAGCAACGAGGGCGTTGATCTTCCTGCGCTTGCGAGTGGAGGAGGATTTGGAGGAGGAGGACGACAGATACTCCTCGAACTTCTGTTGGTCAAACTCGTACTCGACCTCTTCTTCAATCGGGATCCAGATCCGTGGTTGTGACACGACAGCTTCGGCAGCGAAGCTGTTAGCTCCCACTGTGATCGTCAGTTTGTTTGTGGTAAAAGTTAGTTTCTTCATTAAGATATTCATTATAACTTCAGTCGTTATAATGAAAACAAAAAATAGTCTTTTTATAAGACTCTTATACAATAAAAATAAAAAAAATTACAACTCTCGTCAAAACAAACACAACGGACGTTTATCACTCGTTGTTTGCGTGGGATCTTTGCCTGTACCGGGGATGTTGATATCCGTGGACCGCCTACGGATCAAATCCGGTTGTCAGAAAATTAACAGAGCTCTTACTTCACCAAGAAAGTATTCGCTTGAAGCACTAAAATCGATCAAGCGAAATCAGTAGCTCTTCTCGAGATTAAGACCAAGCCTAATCTCAAGGAACGGACGAGGGGAAATACGTGTTCGGATCCTTCGAAAGACTTCCTCTTTATGCTGAAGCTCGCCGGGATCTGACTTGCCTTCGCTGTAAATTCGTGCTCCTTCGACTCCTCAATCCAGCAGCACCTCGTCCTCTTGATCAATTCGCCCCCGTGAAATGAGCCTCTAGGCCTGTATTTATAGGCTTCGGTTGGGGGGTATTTGGATAAAAATGAGTGATTTAACCTTATCTTCAATCAATAACGGCCTAACCATGTTTGTAGATGATATCTAGGCAGGTAGGAACCTCTGAAACAGAAGAAACCGATCAAAACAGCCTGAAAACACATTTTGAAGGTTACAGGTAGTTCTGGGCGCGAGACGGACCGCGGTGACCCGCGCGGCCACGGGTCACTCTTGGGTGACTTGTGCGCCATGCGAGTTCTGAGGTGTTTCCCGACTTTCCCGGACTTGTATTTTTCACCGTTTCGTTTATTTACCTGCCGTGTTGACTTGTACACTTCGCGCGAGCTGACTAACGTGCGCGTTCGGTCACTTGGAGCTGACTTACGCGCGCGGGCTGACTAACGTGCGCATCCGGTCACTTGGAGCTGACTTACGCGCGCGGGCTGACTGACGAGCGTGACGGCCAATTAGAGGTGGTCGCTGAGCGTACGAGACACAGTTGGTTTGTCATTCCGGTTCATACACTTGTCGGCGTCAGATAATCCTCTTAGACTCGGATAACGACGTTCGTCATCTTCTCTCCGTCTCGAGCTGCATACGGACACTTATAGGCATTTTTAGACGCTTACAATAATATATGTACTCTTATCATGATGATTGATGCATCATGTGAACTGACATTATTCAAATTTTGAACTAAATAAATAAGTTGAATTTATAATTGTACTTAAAGCTAGAGGAAATTAATCTCATCATGAAAGAAAGGATAAGTGCAACTTTTGTCTTTTCTCATAAACCTTAGCAAATATTGTATTCCTATGGTATAGTGTTTGTAGTTGGTCAAAAAGTACAAACCTTTCAATAAGATGAGTTAAACATAAAGATGGGCCCCAAAGGTAATTGAGTCATACTACCTAAATCCAACAAAGCCAAGAAAGTTGGCATAACTCAACGGAGCATAACCCAGGCAGACCTAAAACTCCATGAAAGTCCAAACTAATGTAGCCGATGGAGATGCACAAGGTAAAGATAAGCATGAGCTAGCAACACGAAATCAGACTCCGCATGCCATATACAGAAGACGGGGCATCACTGACATGATTTAACAGCTTCATCAAAAGTCTAATCACAGTGACGCCCATTTAATGCATTGACTTCGAGAAGTCTACGGTACATGTAAGATGATGCACATGGTCCCGAGGCAATGAGCCACCAAACCTAGCCAAACTGCTCAGCCTGAGTCTAGTAGTTTCAATACAGTGAATTGATTGGACGAAGATAATAATAATGACAACTTCCGGCTAGCTACATGGCGATGGGAGGCCACACTGCATTTAATGTGGAGTAACTGAAGAGCTGGCGCCCATAATGATGAATAGGATCCTCCGAATTTCATGCCCACAACGCATTTAATGCAAATCTAGCGAAGTGATGGATAGAGGTTGGCAGCATGGTTGTCGCACAGACATGGTTGTTGCACAGACGTGACCCAACTCCGCACAAATGAACTCCGTACACAATTCAACACAAATCCTACAAATACCCCTCTTCATTAAATTTTCAAGAAAAGGACATCTAAAGCATTGATTGTGTCATTACTATCCTTTACCTATTCTTCAATTACCCGAGTCACGAACCATGAGGGAAAGAAGTTTACGTTGTGAACTTTGTTCACCTCTAGCCCTTAACATCTAGTATCTTTGATCTTGTTCGGCTTAGCCACATAACTATCAATCTTCAAACATTGTTGGCACTCTTCTCACTTGTTCAAAGAGGCAAAACCCTTCGTAAAAAGTTCATTCTTCATCTCAAAGACTCCCCGAAGCGACTCATTTCGATCTCACTTGGTAGTATAAAGAACGGTGCTATTTTATTCATATGGTCAACGGAGCCGACGCCTAGTCTCTTCCGGCACAGCTTCCTAGAATCGAAATTGTAACTAAAGAACTGTAATATTTTGTTATTTTCCAAGAGATTAATAAAAGAGAACAACTATTTCATTGTCTCGAATCTTTGTAAGTCTTTTGACCGAAAACAGTGTTGAACTAGATCAATTGGTTAATCATGAATTACATTGGGGGAATATCAGGTAGTCAAAACTAAATGTGATTGCAAATTGCACCGCTTTTCTCAAAGCTTAGAAGTTGGAATTAGAAGTGACATCACTAGTATTAGAGGGTCACCTAAATTTCTTACTTCAAATGATCATCTATTTGAATGATAATGAGTTTCATGCTTAGCCGTGACTCATAAGTAGGCATCAATATCTGTTTAACACTAAGCACTGCAATATAGACCCTAGTTTCAATGATATTATGCTAAACATTACACTGCCTTCATCCGCTCTTAATGTTACAGTCTCTGCTACACATTGACTTGAGTAATTGAAGAATATAATGGTACAATTTTTTTACCTATGAATTTCCTTCTAGTAGAAAATCCAGGTTTTCATTTCCGTTTCTTGCACTAAGAAGTTAAATCCTGCCCACATCAATTAAAACTTTCGTCATTTCATATGTGCAGATTCTGGAGAAAACTGACTATACGATGATATCCGGGAGTCCATATATAAAGAAATCAGGTACGAAGTTTGAGACTTGAAGAGTCATAGTTCTTTTAAGCGTTTTAAAACAGAAACTGATCCCTTGACTGTGTTCCCTATCAGGATGGAGGAAGATATCATTTTACTTCAATCTTTCATACGAAATCAGAGACAAGTCCATTGAATTTGATGAAAATCGTAATGTCCAGCGCGCTGAGTTTGTCGTTCGTGCATATATGCAGTATGTTCAACTCTGAACAATTAACCTACTGATTGATCTTATTTATTCTGTCATTACAAACTTTCTTACTTTGGCTATTTTAATCAGAGGTGGGAGGTTCTCAGATGGGTGGGGTTCTTGTGAGCGGCGAGAGAAAAGGTTTTTGAAACCAAACCATGATATTCCTAGCACAGCAGAAACTCGAGCGAAAAATAGAGCATGTCAGGTAAGCATTCTTAGGACAGCAGAAATTTCGGCTACTTGACCTTTTCAGATGATACCAAATTTATATAATTGATTCAGTTGTTAATCTGCAATTTGAACTTTTTTGAATGATGAAATATCAATTACAGCATTGAAACCATGGAAAGTTTGGATACAAAGACCATCGTATTTTTGATGTCGTTACTGTTTAGTATTGAGTAGAAATTTCTCTTTTGATTTTCAACCATCCTCATTTCCTGAGGGTTGTTGGTACACATTATCTGTTATATTCTCAAATTTCCCACCTTCCCTAAAGTTGATCTTGCCATAAATTTCATTTCGAGGATAATAACGTCATACCGCAACGGCGCAACCTTTTACCATTCAGGCATGCATGATACATCTGATAGCACTAAGTGAAATGATTTTACTTCTTCAACATGAAATAACATTGACCCTTTTCCCCCATACTTCAGAGTTTTGATCAATGGCTGATTTTGACATGCAGGACTTGCTCGGAATTGGAGAGTACCGACCGGGTATCAAGCTGTAATCAAAGGCGGTTTTCTGGCGTAGCATCCTTTAGAGTTCAAATGGCCGTGTAAAACAAAGGATGAATCGTGTTGTATCTGTAGAGAAAGGAAGCTGGCTGTTGTAACATCGTTATGAGGTCGTTCATTGAAAAGACAGATGATTGATGAATTCATGTAACTCCTTGTTACCAGAGTTGAGAGATAAAAGAAATTATCATCACTCTTGCTGAAAATTGAAGAGGCAAGAGTCAGAGGAGTTGTCCTCATGTGTACCTAAATATGTCAATGACAAAACAATTGCTTTGTATCGAATTTTGCGTCGGAGTCCATATTCCAATTCTTTACCAATATGCTGTGCATTTTCACGCACAACTGTATTTGATGTCCTCCAAGAAAGCAAAGCATCTTTTCCTTTTGTAGACCACTTGTTCTTTGCTGAGTCTTTTCTATCTTATCACTAGATTGCACACACCGATGATTATCAAGATTCTATATTATTCATGTTTCCTACTCTTCTCTTTCCATTTTGATCGTCGTATCTCACTGTGGATGAACAGGGGCATAATTGTGTAAATTTTATAACTTCGAAATGCTATGGTTCTTCAGTCACCTTTTAGAATTGAATTCTATCGAGGTGTGGCTGGGGGTCCCACCATGTCATAGGAGAAGGGTCTATTCGCAAACGTTATGGTTTTAAAACATTGTCTTAATTGCACTTAAGTACCATATAGTTACCCCAACTTTGTAATTATATACCCTCATTTGATTTTGGTAGATACTATAGACTATACCTAACCGAAGATTTCTAAAGTGAGCTAATGACTAATGTGTATGCACTGCCCTGCAGGGTAAAGTTATATCACTTCCTTTTGAGGGAAGACGAGAAAGAGAATACTTGCATTTCTCCCAATAAATATAATTATCTAACGAATGTTGCTACAGAGACCCAAAATATGGGACCAACATGGGGGGACACGTGAGGTGTCCTCCTCCTATTGCATAATAAGCTGAGCATTAATGATGATCAGCTCATTATGCAATAGGAGGGGGACACCTCACATATCCCCATGTTGGTCCCATATTTTGGGTCATTAGAGAATTTTCCCTATCCAAATAATAGGGATTTTGCCTTGGATAGTTGCGCTCTTAAATGCTGACCCTGACCCTGCCTTGTAATATTCATCCTTAGGAACCTCTAACCCATTACTTACAACAGAGCTTACAAAGGCCCATGTGAAGCCCAGGTATCTCTGGAAAGCCCACTCCGCAATACGAAATGGTGTGCTATATAACGATTGACCAGCAAAAAAAAAAAAAAAACTGACTGACGAGGGGGGTCGTTGGCCAGGGACCCACAGTATGAGAAGCAGCAAAAAATGGAAGACGGTAATAAATGCACATGATTTTAACATTTCTTTCAAGAATTTATCTTCTTTATTAAAGAAGCTGACAGATTCCTGAGGCCACTCAAATCAATGAAACAAATGGGATGTACCCTATAATTCTTTCTTTCTGATTGATTTAATTTTTCCGTACGATTTGCAGCTGCGTGATTCTTAAACACCACCACATGCGCGCGCATTATTTCAGAATAAATAATATCTTTCAAGCGCCCAGAATGAGGGACCGAGTAAGTAGGCGGGGAATATGAATTATTTACTGTGTACTTGATTTTACGTGTATTTTTTTTTTTTTACAACAGGCAGGAGTTATTATATCCAATATATCTGAAAACTTACCGGAGTATGGTGTACCCAAATTACCATTATAATTAAGTAGGGTTTTAATTAGAAATCATCTTTAAAATAGGACAAATATACTAAAATCACTTTTCAATTTTTATTTGTGAGTAAACAACATTTGAAGTGTTTCTTCTTCTTCTCCTTTTTTTTGGCAATCAATGACCTTGCAGACGAATTTTCACTAGAAACTCTTTAAATTTTAAAAATTCAAATTCAATGTACACTAGTTGTATCTTAACAAGACCTGAATATTAAAAAAAAATGAGTCACGTGTCTTATATGTAACTATTTTAAGAATAATTTTGGGTTTTTGCTTTTCAGTAAAAATTTTGGCTGAATGGTGGTTGGTTGCAAGAAAAAACTCACTTTAAAGGTGGTTTACATACAAATTAAAGTTGAAAGTTAATTTCTGTATAATTACATTACTTTTAAGGTGGTTTCTAATTTTAGAAAAGAAAGCTTATAAGTATGTTGACTGTTGAACATTGTGACATTCTTATTATAAAAAAGATAGATCATAGTCATATATTGATTTGGGTCATTTCCTGATACTAAGCAATTATATGTATGAATGAGAACATACTCATACCTAGACAACGTGGATCTTGAAAATTCAATTCTATATTCAAATTAAAGAAAACAAATACGGATATTATGATGAAAAATGATGTTATATCATTTTGTCAAATAAGATATCAACAAATAGATTTCTAACGTGGTTAGATTTATTCTAGTTAGGGGTTGTTTGGTTGGTTTCTTAAAAACCAAGAAAAGAAAATCTTTATACTTTTTCATTAAAATATTATTTCTGTTATTTCTTTTCTTTTTCCTTTTCTGAAGCTCTTTATTGTTTCTTTTTTTAACAACTCATTTTCTTTTTTTTTCTTTTTTTTGTGATCGCTTAATAACTCATTTTCTTAAATACAACATCTTTGTACTATAAAACTTACGTCTTATTTTTTGTCCAATACCCAGGCATAGGCCGCATACCTAGTCTCAGGGGCATGTGAATTGGCTCAAGGTATATCCTGCACATAACTTTACAATATTTGACTTTGAAACTCCAAACTTAGCAGCATAGCATGTGAAAACTCAACACATGCCAAGATCTTGTAGATTTTATGACCATTTAGATCAAGGACGGTCCAGGCTTCTTTAAATTTTCATTTAATTGTGTTTGGTAATCGAGGTGTTTGTTTTTTAAAAAAACACCATGTCATGGTGTTTTTTTTTTCAAACATGTTTTGAAAACACCATTTATAGTTATTATTTATAAAACAGCGGCGGCGACAGGCGGGCGACGAACGGAGCCGTCGGCGGCCGTGACGGGCCGGGCGGCGGCGGGACGGGCAGGTGGCGGACGACGTTGGGCGGAACGACACGGGCGTCGGCGGTGCCAGCCGCGTACGACGGGCGGCGGCGGCGACGGGCAGCAGGTGGCCGGCGATAGGGGCGGGGCGACGGGCCAAGCGGGCGGCGAGTGGACGGACAACGGCTGCAGGGGATGCCTGATGGGCCGGTGGCGGCCGGGCGGCGGGTGGTGAGGCGGCAGCTGGGCGGGGCGGGCGGCGCACGGATGGGCGGCAGCGGGAGGGCGAGCTGCGGCGGTCGATGACGTGGCAGGCGAACGGCGATGGGCGGCGGCGGGCAGGGGCGGGGGCGGGCGGGCAGCGGCGTGGGCGCTGGCGGCCGGGGCAGGCCGGCCGGTGGCGAGCGACGGCCGGCGACGGGCGTACGGGTGCGGGGCGGGGAGGCGGCCGGCGGCGGCGGGCGACGACGGGCGAGCGGGCGACGGCGGCTTAGATGAAAAAACGGAATATCAAAACACCTTTTTGGTGTTTTGAAAAAAGTGTTTATTTTTTAGATTTGTAAAGGGTCAAGTCAAAAAAACGCCCCGGTTGCCAAACACATTTTATTGTTTTTATTGAAAACAAAAACAGAAACGACAAAAACGCTACGGTCGCCAAACGCTCCCACTTAATAAATGAAATGGATCAAATGATACTGCTTACACTTGCTCCTTTATGTAAATCATCAAATCTCGGATGCCTTATACTAATGGAAGTTATGAAACATTATTCAAAGAATTAAAAAGGCTATCAATTTTTTTTTTATGAAGTATGTGATTCGTGATGAAAAAGACTAGGGTTGTACACATGTGAATAAGAATTTTTCTCAATAATTAATTTATAGAAGGCTCTTGTAAACAAACTGAGTTGTGAGCAGTTTTTTCACGATGGTAATAGTGCCCCCTAATACCCCCCCCCCCCCCCCCAAAAAAAAAAAAAAATTAACAAATAACAAAGTTCACAGTCCAAGGTTGAATTTATTCATAATCTTTTTCCACCCTTTACTATTAACCAAATCTGACACTTTATAAGTAATGTACATGTGGTTGTAATAAACAAAAAAGGGTTGAGGATATACCCAAAAGTGTGTTATCATAATGTATTCTTCCATATGTATTAATAAGTATAAAATAATCTAATGTTACGTTTTTCTTAATGCCCTCTGAAGATAAAACAACAATATCCAGGAAAATACAGCTGGACAGTTTTTGGTTCTGTCCAGTCGATCGCGAGCTTTGTGGCGGTCGACCGCAAATATGCACAGCCTCAGGGAGTTTTTGGATTTCTTTCCGATCGACCGCGAAGACTTCAACGGTCGACCACAAATCCTATAATTGGTTTATTGTTTTTGGACGTTCTGTCCGGTCGACCGCGACGTCAAGTGCTATCGACCGCCACGTCACGGTCGACCGCCAGTCAGGTTTGAGCCTGGGCTTTATTTCCTGATCTCATTTGGTTTGTGTTTTGATATATATGAAACACGATTTGAGGGTTTGGTTTATCAGAGAATAGAGAGTATTCTGAGCACTTTAGGAGGGAAAACTTGTGAGCGAGTTGAGAAAGCATTGGTTTGGGTTTGTTCGAGTGTTTGAGTGGTTGTAACCCTTTTGAACTCTCTTCGAAATAGTGAAATCTCTGTATCCTCTTCCCGTGGACGTAGGCAAATTGTCGAACTACGTATATCTCTGTGTTCGCGATTGGTTTGTCATATTTGTTTGGATTGTGCTCGAGTTTGGTTTGTTAATCTTCTCCCGTGGCTCACGGACTCATTTGGTTGTCAAGCACGCTTCCGCACGGCGTACAACAATTTGCTATCAAATCTCAGATTTAAGATCTAGGGTTTTGGCACTTGGTGGAGGAAGATTCAATGTGGAAGCTTGGTTCTTTGAGTTCTAGGCTTCGTGGAGATAGTGTTTTGGGTTGCCGTTGAAGATTTCGCTTTCCTTGTGTGGTTAGGAGATCTATTTGGAATCCGTTCTAGGGTTCAGTTAGTGTAGGCGTCAAAAAATGCTGAAAGATATCCAAATACAGCTCAAGAGGAAATCATCCAAAAAGGCAGAAGAACACAAGTCTTGAATGTCTCGCCGTGCGAGACAGTCTTTACTGTCTCGCGAGCGAGACAGACTTTTACTGTCTCGCCCACGCGAGACAGTCTTTGCTGTCTCGCCGTGCGAGACAGAATTTACTGTCTCGCACGTGAGACAGTTTTCAGATGGTCAAAACTACCTTTGCAACTGCCCTACACGTGGCCACTAACTGTTCAAGAACGTGGGAAACGTCGTGGGCGAGAATCACGTGGATAACTGCCAATGTCTCGCGGGCCGAGACAGCAA